TACAGTAGAGTGCTTTTGAAAGTAAAAGAGGGGACAGGAGAGTAGGGGTAAACCACGACTGTCACAAGCAAATCAAGACATATGGTCACCCTAGTGTTAGAAAAATTCTAACTTGTAGGAGTAGCAGTAGTGACATTACAACTCCTGGACTGTAATGTTAGTTATAGTGGTTTAGGGCAGAATCCCAGGCCCCTCCAGACCATACTACCTCCCTCCTAGTGTAGGTAACATGGGCTCTATGTGCCTTGGCTGCAGTGTGGAGAAGGGAGGCTCCTCACCCAGAGAGAGGGCCCTGAGCCCCAGAGCCCCAGAAAGAATGCAGCCATGGTAGGGTATCTTTTCCAGTTTTTTTTTGTGGAAGATCAATAAAGGCCATTGGTACTTTTTTGGCCTTTGTACCTTGTACTCTGCTTCCCCTGATGGCAATGGGAAGGGTTAGAGACGTTGTCCTCCATCCATCTCTCAGAGCCACAAACCGGAGGGAAGTAGAGAGCTGGAGCTCAGGCCTTGAGTCCAATGAAGCACGTCAGAAATTTGCAGGAGCCAAAGCCATTTCATCTGACATGTTCTTTGGGCGGGAGATGGATTCTGAGGTAAGTGGAATTGTCTACCCGTGGCTGGAGGCAGCAGGTAGACGCAAGAGCTTCCTCCCTGCCATAGCTTTGTGCATTAGTACTAGGTTGGCTTGGCCTGTAAGGGCCCTGGGTCATCGGCCATAAGATCCCAAGGCCTCGCCTTTTCTTCACCACAGTATGAAGCCAGGTCTCGGCTCCAGCAGCTCTCAGGCAGCAGCGCCATCAGCTCTTCAGACCTCTTTGGGGAGGTGGATGGAGCTCATGGAGCAGGTAAGGCCCCAGTGGTTTGGCGGGCAACATCAAGGCCTGTCAGCAGAGCTGGAGGGCACTGTTGGCTGGGGAGGGCTTCCTGCAGGGCTCTGGGTCATCCCTTCTCTTGCTTTTACAGGTAGTGTGTCTCTAGGGAATGTACTACCTACAGCTGACATTGCCCAGTTTAAGCAGGGTGTCAAGTCTGTGGCTGGGAAGATGGCTGTGCTGGCCAATGGTGTGATGAATTCTTTGCAGGTGAGGCTGGGGCTGCTGGACCTGGGCTGGGAGGGAGCCTAAGGAATAGTGCTTAGAGGTTTGCCTTTTCCACCACATCCAGACACTGCTTCTGGGTAGCCCCTCTTGGTCTGAAAGAGAGAGAGCATTTTTTTCTTTTGGAGAGGCAGCTTTCTTCCTTTGAGCTCCATACCAGGGCTAGGGCCTCGCCTGAAGACACTGCCATGTCCACACTGATCTGTTCCCTATTCATGTCACTTCTACCACTCCTTCTCCTCCCTCCCCAGCTCTGTGAGTTTAGACAAGGCTTCCCCCTTGGGTTCGGGCCACAGCCGCCTTCCCAAGTCACAATAAATATGAAACTATCTCTGCTGCAGTGAGATTGGTGCTGACTGCCCACCACATCTCACTGTGGACTCCTTCCTTGAGGGTACACAGAGCCTGCACCTGGTTCTGCTGTGGGTGTATATGTCTGTCTGTCTCTGTGTGGTGGGAAGGGCATGTGCACACTAAGAAGCTACTACAGGTTAGAGATGCTGACTTTGTGTTTTTCCTTTCCCCACCCTAGGATCGCTATGGTTCCTACTGATGTAAGCTCTGTGGCTCAGGCATATGTTGGTGACAGCAAGAACCCCATGATTCTCTGGCCAGGGAGGCTTGCCTTATAGAAGCTGGGAGGATTTGTTACTTTCTATGTGTGGTGTGTGAGTGGGGTGGCCTTGGAGGATCTCGGGTGAGGGGAATGGTCAGTATCAGCCTTGTCCTCTGCCTGTGGATCGAGCCCTTTGTTCTCCTCCCCTCACACCCCCTCTCCTGTGTGCTAGATTATTGTTCTTCCAGTCCCAGCCCCAAAGCTGCTGCTCACTTTCTGGTCACAATGGGAGTAAGGGAGAGAGTTCCCTCAGGATGGCTTATTCTGGGTCCAGCCCTTTCTCAAGTTGGGAAAGTGAAAAGTGTGAGGATTTTTGCTGGCTCTAGGATCCTTCTGGGTAGTCTGGAGGCTTGGGGGCTTGGGCCTCTGTCCTCTGGAACCAGTGGGGGAGGCCTAAAAAGTTCTGCTGTGGACCAGCCCCTGGAAGAGAGGTGCTGGACTTGCTGCTGCCGCCATTGGCCTTTGGGTACTAGAAGAAGGCAGGGGAGGGGAAGGACCTTGCTCTGGGTCTTACTAAGGGCTAGAAACTTTACCTGGTATCTAATGGTTTCATCTGGGATCAGACTGGAGGCCCAACGGCTCTTCTGTCTCACCACCCCTTTTTACCGTCATCACTTCAATGTCAGGGGGAGGATTACTTCTGGGTGTCTTGGAGTCCTTCCATGCCATCTGCTCTGGACCACAGGACCCTCTGTCCCCTCCTGAGATGTTTCTCTGCCCTTTCTTCCCCTGGTCAGTGGCCACAGTGGGCCTTATGTGCCTGCACCCTGACTCTGGACGCTGTGAGCACACTGCTGACCACGGAAGCAGAGGCCGTGAGGGACAAGAGCAGGCTCCTGGGCTCGCCTTTCTTCCTCTGCCCCATCCTGGGCTTGGGGGCCTGGACAGCACCCCACCAGTGAGAGCTGGAGGGGCCTACAGGGCTGCAGGCCTCTCCCTTTGGCAACTGGGCCATGCACTGTGTCACCCTTGGTGCCATCTTCCCTGCCATGCTGGCAGTCTGGGCCCAACCCCCCTCTGAGTTGTGGGTTGGGTGCCCAAGCAACAGACCACTTTTTTTCCCTACCCTCCTTCCCCCAAGGGACATGACTTTCTTTCTGGATTGTTTGTATTGCAACAAAGTGGTGTCAAAATAAAGCTGCCACAGGGCCCTGGGCCCCTGCTGGTCTGAGCTGAAGTACTGTCCTCTCTGGATCCTGCCCCCTGCCTGGAGCAGGCCCTCGCCTTACTCTCTGGGCTACCACCGATAGGGGTAGGGCGATGGTGCAGAAGCTGAGGGCACTCTCTCCAGGGCCTCCGGTCTGTCTCTTCTCTGAAAGCCAAAGGCCCCTGGCTCCTTGGCCCTGTGCTGCCGCGAGGTCCTGTGCAGCCTCGACCTCACCACCCTGTTGCACGCGGAGGAAAGAGCTGATATTAGTTGGCCCCTTAACTCACCCACTGAGCTATATGCTGAGGGCAGGTGAGCGTTCTGAGCAAAGGCCTCAGCAGCCTTGTAGGCTCATCATGTTAGGACTGATGGGGCGGGTTTCTCAATGCAGTTAAAGAACTAAAATATTCAGACTTACTTAATGGAACCCTTTTAAATTGAGGAGGAAAAGATGTGTTTGTGTATAAACCCCTGGCTTGGCATCCCTTTCCCCCTAGAGGGGCTCCTGCAACATTTGGGCCACCTCAGAGGCCCTCAGGGTACAGCTGAAAATCACCACTCTGGGAAGTGGATGATTAGAAGGGTTGGGTAGAGGGAGCCGTGGGGCTCAAAGCCAGTGATTTCCAGTATGGATCTGGGACTTGCAGCTTTGGAATAATCTGGCCCCACCCCAAGCAGGTACTGAATTAGACTCTAGCGTGGCCCTGTGCATTTATAAATACATCCCCCCTGGTAGTTCACACCATGATGCACGCCAAGGTTTGAGCACTGCTCTCTGGGACTGGAAGCTGGAGATGATTGTGAGCCCAGAGACCTCCCCATGTGGCCTGGAGATGCTTTAGAACTGGATCTCCCAGTCCTGGCAGGGCTTTGGGAGCCCGTTCCTGCAACTGGTCAGTGGGACTGGTCTGGGCATGGATGTGCCCAAAAGAATGTTTGTGCCCAGTGGTTAGGGTTAAGGGTTAGGTGACACCAGCTTCAGAGGAGGCAGCTGCCTCTGCTTGGCCCTTGGATGGGCTTTACTTGCTGGAGGACCCCCCAGCCTGGTTCATGGGAGCTGAAGACCTCCTGTCTTTACCTTTCTCCAGTCTTAACAGGAAGTTTGTGCCCCGCAGGCCAATGTTTTGTTCACAGCTGCACCCCCTCTTCCCTAGCCCAGAGCAAGTGAGTGTCAAGTATTTAATAACCAACCCATGGCTGGCAGGCTGTGCGGTGCTAACCTTTCTGTTGCCTGGATCTGTGAAGCTGTGGGAACCTGGCCTAGAACCCTCTGGGCCTCAGTTTTCTGAAGGCCCATTCCAGCTGTTGGCACCTTTCCTTTGGTACCAGGGGCTGCTTGCAAGTGCAGAAGTGTAAGCCCCTTTCTCATCTGAGACAGGTCTCCAGGCTTCAGTGGTCCTCTGGCCCCCACCGCGCAGTGCTGCCAGAAAAGCTAGGCTTCAGCAAAAGAGACCCAAACATACCCATTCCTTCACCCATCCTTTTGCTCCTCCTCAGTCTAGTGGTTTTAGACTCACCACTTACCAGACACAAGGGACTTTATTCATTTCACATATTTAACTATTAAACACAGGGAAGACTGGAAGCAGTTTTTGCAAGTGCAATTGTCTTGCCCACCCCTCTCCTTCATCCTATGATGGCTGGTGGCTATTCCTCCAGTAGAAGGCCACAGTGGTTATGTTCCCCCAGTACCTGCATGTCATGCCTCACCCTTGACCAATGCAAGGCCCTCCATTGGCTATTCATGGTCTCCCCCTTCTTGGAGTTGCTGTGAGGAAATGAATCTTATCGAGGGGCTAGCAGAAGTTGGCTGAGAAGACTGTACTTCCTCAAGAGGTTAGGAGGACTATAAGCAAAAGGCTAAGGCCACGTCTCCTTCCCAGTGACCAGATGGCCTCAGTTCAATCTGCAGTTAGCCTGGGGCCTGACTAAAGCCCAAAGACTGATGGGGCCTGCAAGAGGAGGGTTACTGATCGACTTGGCTGATCATCAACCCCTGAGGCAGGTCTTTGGGCTTATTCAGCCTTTTCACCAGCAGAGGGGAGCATGGCACAGTGCTGGAGAGGAGGTTGGGTGGGAGTCCCAAGGGCTGGGGTGGGAGCAAGGGATGGAGAGTTATAGGTAGGACCCTTCAGACTCCTCAAGTCTCAGACTCATCTGTCTCTTCAGTGGAGCCATCGCTCTCTGCATCCACTTTGCGGGAGTGATGGAGGGGTCTCCAGGGGGAGGCAACCCGGGGAGGGGTTCGGGAAGGCAGGCAGCTGGCTTCTGGGCTGGCACTGACTGAGTTGACCAGGCCTGGGACCTGGACCAGCCTGAAAGGAAAGAAGCCCAGAGGGCAGCAACATGCCTCCTGTCCAGAGCCAGTACCTCCACCTCCACGTTCATTCATGAACCCCAGGGGTTCTAGCCCTCAAACGCGGCCCTGACCAACATGGGGTGGTTCAGACAAGCCCTGTGTGACCCACGAGGGGGCATGGCTATGTCCAACTAAGGCTTGGCTCCCACAAGAGGGCAGCATCTTCCCACTGGACACTTACAGACGTTCCAGCTCCTCATCCATGGCTGGGTCATGCATCAGGTCCCCCTTGTCAGGCAAAGCTCCTAAGAGATAGTTGGGGGACACAAACCTTAATCTGAGGGTCCTTTAGCCAGGTTCCAGTCAGGCTGCCCCATTCCCAACAGATGCTTTTGTGGCCCTCCCCTTCACACCTGTCTATTCTGACCCTGGGAACGCTGATCTTAAAGATTTTGGCAAGAGCTCTTAAGTATAGGAGGACTGCTACAGGGGCCAAAGAGCAGTCATGGAGCAGGAGGTCTTGGGTGCTGCTTGATAAATTTAGTGAAACTTGCTGCCCACCCTAACCTACTTGGGGCAGAGACCACAGCTAAGGAGATACCTCCAAACCTCAAGGTCACTGCACAAACGGGCCATCCCCTTCTAAAACTAGGTGGTGGGTTGTGAGCTGGTGCTGGGGTTTAGTCCTTTCTTGAGGTCTCAGGTATTGGGCTGTAAAGGAGCCAGAGACATAGGATGCAGCCCAGGCTGACACTAAAACAAAAAACCAAACCCCATGCCATCAAGTCAAGTCGATTCCGACTCATAGCGACCATATAGGACAGCATAGAACTGCCCCCATAGGGTTTCCAAAACTAAATCTTTATGGAAGCAGACTGCCACATCTTTCTTCTGCAGAGTGGCTGGTAGGTTTGAACTGCCAGCCTTCCATTTAGCAGCCAAGCACTTAACCATTGTACCACCAAGGCTCCTTTAGGCAGATACTGAACACCAGAAATTATCCAATTCTGTGCCCCAAAGTCAGGGTGGCCCCCCCTTTCAGATAGAGGTGGGCCCTCCTGGGAGGGCCCAAAGGGTGAGAAGAAAGGGCTGGGGCAGGATCACACCAGACTCAATTTTGTATGGTCAAGAGGGGAGCAGTCCCATCTCTTCTCTGCCACAAACCGTCTCTGCGATCCTGGAACAAACACCAGTTTCTCCAGGTTGGGTTCCTTAGCTATAAACTGTTATTGTTAGCTGCTGTTGAATTGGCCCCTGACTTACGGTGACCCCGTGCACAACTGAAGGAACTGTTGTCTGGTCGTGTGCCATCCCCAGGATCAGTTGTGGACTGAACCATTGTGATCCATAGGGTTTTCACTGGCTGATTTTTGGAAGCAGATTGCCAGGTCCATCTTAGCCTGGAAGCTTCCTGCTGAGACCTGTTCAGTATCATAGCAACAGGCAAGCCTTCACTGACACTCAGATGGGTGGTGGCTACTCATGAGGTGCACTGGCCAGAATCGAACCACGGTCTCCCGCTTGGAAGGCACTGAACTACCAATGCCCCTGAGCTATAAATGAAAACCAAAAAATCAAACCCAGCCATAGAGTCGTTTTTGATATTAGGGAAAGGTGAGAAGAGAGGTTCTTGGATGCTCCCAGGAGTTAACAGTGGGAGAGGAGGTGTGGCTGAAGTTTGCAGACAGGAAGAATTCTCACCAGCAAATTGTTCAGGGAAAAGAGCTCACTGGTGTTTAGAACCTAGACTTGGCAGTCAACAATACTGTTCCATAGAAAGACTCAAAATTTACCTATCTAGCTCTACTTCAATTCTCAACTTTTCCAAAGCTTTCTCAGATGATGCCTTCTGGCCATTTTTTCTTCTGAGTGGTTTTCAAACTATGTCCCATGGAAGCCTCATTCTTTGGGGGTGCCTTGAGAACCAAAGGAACAAGGTTATTCCTCTCCCCAACTGGCTTCAACCAGGGTGTCTCCAGATTTCTGTTTTATACACTGGTGTTCCAGGTGAGGGCAAAGACCATCTGCTGCTTTTATATGTCCTACTCCACCCAACACTAGTGCTCAGTAAAAGTTGCTGAGTGAAAGACTGTCCTTTTTAAAGGCCCTTAGAAGAAGCAATGGGAGGGAGGAGGTTAGTCCAACCTGTGACCCAGCTGCTAGTTAGCTTTTCCTTCCTAGCAACTGTGGTTGGTGGAAAGGAAGGGAGGGTAACCAGTAACCTAGGAGTATGAAAGAAAACCTAAGTAAATCTCCACCCACTACACTCTTACTCTTGACTTCTGAGTCCTATGTTGCCTCTTTTCTACTCCTAGTCCAGCCAGTGACCTTGGCTACCAATCCCACTTAGATGGTTCCCCGATTGTGCCTGCCCCAAGCACAGGATAACTCAACTGCCAGGTGTTGTGCATGCCTGAATGGGGCCTCGGTCAGTCTTGAGAGGTTTGTGTTCCTGTGATCCCAGAAACGTCCCTAGCATAAAGCAACTTGCACAGTAGTTGGCCTTCTGTGGTTAGCATTTAACAAACGTTTCCTTCCTTTGACCTGTTCCCAGCCACAGAGAACTCAGAACTGGAAAAAGGAAGGGGGTTGCTGTGTCTCTTCTTGGAGACTCAGGAACCTGGGTTCCAAGCATGGTTGGAGTATCTCTTAAGGAGAGAGGTAAATAAGAACCCCTCAAGCTCCAATAGGATGATTGGCCTGCTAGCTCTTCCCATAGGAGAGCTGAGGGGGAGGAGCAGGGTGGGCAGAGAAGATCAAGGATAAGGAACCCAACCAGTGAGAATAAACCGATGAGCAGGAAAAACTGGACCATGTGGACTTCCCCCACCCTCTTCCTTTTTTTAACTCCCTCTCAGATTAATCAGTTTTTTTTTTTCCCAGCTGGGAAAAAAGGGCTCCCCAACACACCTTTGCCTTGTTTACGAATGGGATTCAGGTCTCTTTGATATATAATCTCCAGAGCCACTGAGTAAATAGTCCTGTGTCTGCCCAACCTGCAGGCCACTCCCCAAGGCAGAACTGGGATTCTATGGGGAGAGGCTGCTTCATGTTGGGGCAGGGCCCTGGGCGGGGAAGGCTGTCCCTTACCACTGGAATGTGAGAGGCCTTAGATGGCACAATTTTGTGCACATTCTGGCCCTCTAGGACTCTTAGGCTGGCCCTGAGAAATCAAGGAAGAGATGGTGATTTCCCCTCCTCGTGGTGCCATGTCTGCTTATAGAGGCCAGCTCCTACCTGGCTTTGAATTATTGGGGCAGGGGAAGCTGACCATACCTAGCTCTGGCTTACCTAGGGCTTGGTTAATTCCATGATGCTTTGAGAGAGCCACAAGGAATCCATAGAAGGTCAGTCTCTGAACATTGCTGAGGACCTCTTTGACAAGCGCTGGGGGTGGGCAGCTAGAAGAGAGAATACAGATGCCAGATTCAAAGACTAGCAAGTCTGAGTGCCATCTTTTCATCCATACCTTCAAGCTTAGGAGGATTCCTAAGACTGAGGGATCTGCCTGCTTGGAGGCCCTGAGCCCCTGGGGGAGCCTGACAGACGTCCAGGAGCAAGGCCTTGACTGTAGACAGGAAGGGCTGGTGTTCACTAAGTGGTGCTTTCACTAGGGAGGGGTGGGAAAGATGAAATGGCTAGAAGTGACAGACAACCTCACCTTGGAGGGGACCAAAACTGGTTGTTCTGTCCCTTTCTGTAGGAATGTTTTGTACAGTGAATGTTCTCTCCTTCTTTCTAAAAAGTCAAAGCCAATCTATCTCCTGGTAAGGAGAAGGGTGCCAAGCTGGCCATCTACAGCTACTCTTGTCCAAGGGAAAACAATCCTTTCTAAGCAAGCCAACTGGGGAGCCCCTCAGTCAACTCTATGGTTTGGGGGCAAATGGTGCTGTTCTAATTTATACTATGATCATGAAGGTCCCCAGAAGCCCTGGACCTATCAGAGCATCCTACTAGGGATCTGTTCCAAAAGCCAGCAGCCTACCATCCCTGGGGCTGAGGTAGGGTCTGTGTGCCCATTTCTTACCTGTACTTGTGCCGGTCACACAGGTTCTCCAGGCACTGGTAGAACAGTGACGCCTCCACTCCCTCCAGCATGCTAGCCTCTCCCAAGGCAGGTCGTTGGCGGTGCTGCCCGCTGGATGACGTTGGTACAATCACTGTATTGGGGTTCTTGCCAGACAGCAAGTCCTGATAGATGGCAGCCACACTCTCCAAGAATTCTGGGGGTGGGGGAGGGTGGCAGTTCAGGCAGTGAGGACATATTTTGGCCCTTCCCTGGGTCCCCCCTTCTCTCTCGTTTGTTAGCTCAACTCCACACCAGCCTCAGTGCCCAGTGCATGGTGTCCTGAGGGCAGGAGCCCTCAACCTTGCTTGACCAGCACACTCATGAGAGGGGACACTAATATGTGTTTCAGCTCAAATGTCCATCCTCTGGACACTTGTTCCTGACCGCCTAGACTAGGTGAGATTCCCCACGGAATACTTTCATTGCCCCTGTACTTTTTGGTAGCGCTTATCCAATGACTAGTTTTCTGTGTAGTTACTTGTTTAACCTGTCCCATTGCTGGAATGTAAGATTATTGCTTTTCTCAGCACTTAGCACTGTACCTGGCACATGCTGAATGCGATAAATAATTTCTGAAAGAATGAACACACGCATGCTCCTACTGGTCGGCCTCATCTTGTGAGGCCACCTGCCTCTCTGACTCAATAAGCATGTTGGGATACCAACGAGGAAGAGAGAAAACCTACAACCTGCTATTTTATTAAATATTTGAAATTGGTCCCAAATTCTAGTAATTGAGCCACTGTGAGTAACCGATGACTTAGGGGCATCTCCTCTCTGACTGGCACACACAGCCATGCAGTGCAGTGATACACGAGTCCCCATGTGCTGCCCTATCCCTCTGGAAGGGCCATGAGAAGGTGACCCAGGTAGGCTAGGATGGGAAAAGATGCTCCCTAGCATGGCTGCCCCTCCTCTAGGGCCCAAAGGCTTCAGAGAAATGAGAAATAGATACCTGGAGCTGCTAAGAGCAAGGGGCGACCCTCCAGCCTCCAGCCCCTGCCTGACCAGGTTCTCGGGCTGCCATCGAGTAAACAGAACGGCCTAAATGAGGCTAGGGCTGGCTGGGACCACCAGCTGGCAGAAGGCCACCGGCAGGCTCCAAGGATGGCCTTCTATTTATTGAAAGAGCCCTGTTTTAAACAACTTTGTTTATGGACACAGCAATTTCTAAACCCAACATTCCATTTGATGTCACTTGTGTGTGAGCTGTTGTGTATTTGTATTTATCCATCTATTTTTATTCCACCTGATTGGAGAAGGAGTTTCAGAAGGCACAGCTGGTGTACACTGGAAGCAGGGTGGGAGTAGATCAGCCTGATGGGAGAACGTGTGCCCACATACATGAGTCAGGGGCCAAGGGAGAGAGATGTAATCGTAGTCTGACAGCAGAGTGGCTAAGAGCACGGGCTTCACTGGCTTTGGAGTCAGCTGTCTCTTCAAGCCTGGGCTCCACCACTCAATAGCTGTGTGGCTTTGGTTTCTTACCTTTGTAAGCTTATCACTTGAAACTACTCATTTCTTAGGGTTGTTGTAAGAATTAAGGTGCTTAGTGCTATGCTTGGCACAGAGTAAGTTTCAATAAATAGTGAATGCTTTTGCTGCTGTCACTGTCACGATTTGGTGTGCTGGTAACTAGAAGCACTGTGGTCTGCAGTGTCTTGAGGAGGCTGAGGACGTAGGCTCTGCAGATTGGATTTTGTGACCACCAGAGGGAAGCAGACATCCTGTTAGGGACCCACAGTGAAGCACACCACCACACCCCAAGGAAGTAGGGAAGAGAAATGTGTGCCAGACAGACAGATGGAAAGGACAACAGGGTAGGAAACGGAGACATGGTCCTGGACAGAAGCCTGTACATGGGCCTTAGAAAACTCTCACCTGAGTAGTAAAACTGGATCTGGAAGGCAAAAAGGAAATCTGAAAAAGACATCAAGCAGTCCATGGCATCATCCATGAGCACAATCCTAAGGGGGAAAAAAAAAACCCAGTTCCTGTCAAGTTGATTCTGATTCATGGTGACCCCACGTGTGTCAAAGTAGAACTGTGCTCCATAGGGTTTTTTAAAAATTATTTTGTTGTTGTTGAGAATATACAGAGCAGAACATACCAATTTCACAATTTCTACACGTATAGTTCAGTGACATTGATTACATTCTTCAAGTTGTGCAACCATACCTACCTTCCTTTTCCAAATTGTTCCTTCTCCATTAACTTAAACTCACTGCCTCCTAAGTCTCCTGTCTAATCCTTTGAGTTGCTATTGTCAATTTGATCCCATACAGACAGTTCTCAAAAAGAGCACAATGCTCAAGGCAGACATTCTTTACTAATTAAGCCGAACTATTGTTTCCCCATAGGCATTTCAGTGGCTGATTTTTCAGAAGTAGATTGCCAGGCCTTTCTTCTGAGAAGCCTCTGGGTGGACTTGAACCTCCAACCTTTTGGTTAGCAGCCAAGACAATTAATCATTTGCACCACCCAGAGACTCCTGAGGAGGGAAAAGAGGGAAAAAGAGAGGGAGAGAATGTGAGAGAAACAGAGAATGCATATGTGTGTGACAGAGAGAGACAAAGTTTGTTACTGACATCTCCAGCCTCCCCTGGGGCAGCAAGAAACATTTGGGAGAGGGCTCCCAAAAGCAAGCTCCTCCCAATCACCTCACTTTTTCTCCATCAATTGGGCTCTGCCACTGAACTGAACTGACCACACTGTATCAAGAGTGGGCTCTCTGCTCAGTCTCTGTGGCACCAGCTAGTGGATGGAGCATGGGGAGGGAGGCGTGAGGGGGGTGAGGAGAGGGTGCAATTGTAATGCAGCCAAGATTTCTTTTCATATACTTAAGCAGTAAATCCCTTCATCCTGCCGTGAGGACCATTTAGTTCAGAATAAACACAGCTGATCAGAAAAGGCAAAAAGAACAGCCAAGAGGTTTAAAGGGGTTTTGGCAAATGGTACTGTGATTTAATAAGCTACCAAAGGGCCAGAACAGCTACAGGCACCTCCACCCTGGGACACTGATGGCAGACAAGAGGAGAGGGTGAAGAGCTACGGGGGAATCTGCACTTGAGACGGGTCAAAGAACACACCCCATCTCCTGGCGCCATGGAGGCCAGTGTGTCTTCTTGCTGTCCACTCTCACCAGCTGACCACTTCCCGATTTTTTCTGTCTCTAGCCCCTCTCACTGGGCACCCACCTCACAGGAAGAAAACCATTTGACTACTAAAGGGATTAGAGCAAGGCCATGCTCAGGACCTCATCCGAGAGGGGACTGGAACGGAAGGAAATTAGCACTTGCTGGGCTCTGTCCATGTGCCAGGCAGAGGCCAAACTCATCTACTGGAGTAGAGGGGGCCCCAGTCTGATTTTGACTGGGCCCTTCTGGCTTTATCTCTACTTAAAAAAAAAAGTTTTGTTTTGCTCTCTTCTGTATTTTCCTAAATCTCTTTCCACCCACCTCCCTATGTCAGAGGGTTCCCAGACTGACAGTTGAATCAGCCCCAGAGAGCCAGCACTGCTCACCTTGCAGGGAGAGGCGTTATAAATATGAGGTGAGTGAGGCCCCTGGAATTGTGTAACACAGCTGACCCTGCTTTCAGATCTCCCCAAAGAGAGAAAACGATTCCAATCTAGTCTTTAGTTGTAATAATACTAACCACAGAAACAGGTACCATTTGCTGAGTACCTACTACCTGCACGGCAGACACTGTACAAGGTACTTAACTACATTGATTAAATTTTATCCCACAACAATTCTGTGAGGTAGGTCTTGTTCACTGTTTCCATTTTAGAGGTGAAGAGTCTAAGTTTCAGAGAAGTCAACTTCCCCAAGGTCACACAGCTGGTGAGTTTGCTCGCCTCCATATCCATGTACTTTCCACCAGGCCACACTGCCTCTTTTAGAATAAAAGATACAGAATATACCCAACTCAAACCCACCGCCGTTGACTCAATTCCAACTCACAGTGACCCTGAAAGACAGAGTAGAACTGCTCCATAGGCTTTCCAAGGCTGTAAATCTTTACGGAAGCAGACCTCCACATTCTCCTCCTGCAGAGTGGCTGGTGGGCTTGAAATGCCAACCTTTCAGTTAGCAGCTGAGTGCTTTAACTAACCAGTGTGCCACCAGGGCTCCTTATACAGAATATAAACACTAACATTTTATTTTTTTTAGTTTCTGTGGCTGATTTATCTTCTTGTCACCTATATTTTAAGGCCTTTACTATTTCTCACATATCTCTTAGGGGAAAAAAGCTGCCTGGATTACCAGAGTTCGTAGTTAAAATTCCAGCTGGAAGAAAATCAAGGCCAGAGGGTGGGGAGAAGCAATGTTGCTGCTGACCACAGGAGGGAGCCCTAGTCCCTCCAGCAATGGTTCATGGGACTAACTGGTTAGTTAGTCCCATAGGCCAAGGGGTTACCCCCATTTCTTGCTTCTCATAACCTAAGAGGAACCCAAGCAGTCAAAAAGGTAGTGGGAAGGCACAAAGCCCATATTCTGACATCTGGATGGAGAGAGAGAGGGGAGACAGAGGGCAAAGAGGGGGCAGGAAGAGGCGACTGGAGTTGGCACAGAAGAGAGAGCTCTCTCAGGGAAGAAGAGCCACCAGCACCTCAAAGTTTATCCTTCCCAGGCTCAGCAGGAAGGAAAAGGTCTGAAAGTTCATTACTAGGGAAGAGCACTGGCTGAGAGGAGCCCCAAGCAGGAAGCCACCAAGGCCAGCCAAAACCTTTGAAGTGTTACATGGCTTCTTTTTCCTTTATCATCACCCTGGAACCCATGCCCTTTTCATAGCAGTTACTGCCATCTATTTCATTCATTCATATGAGACAGACTTCAAGTACCATAAAATTCACCCTTTAAAAGTGTACCATTCATGTACACCAGAAAAACACTGAACTGGCAAATGTGTTATATGTATTTTTACAAAAGTATAAAAAATAAGGAAAAAAGTGTACAAGTCAATGGTTTTTAGTATATTCACAAAGTTGTGCAACCATCACCACTCTCTGACTCCTCCATTCTTAGTAAGTACTTCCATTTTTTATTCTCGTTAGTCAGCATGCTCCTGATACAGGCCCTGCCACACCTCAGCTTTGAAGCAAATTGCGATAAGATCTTCCTATCTCAGCAACAGATAGAGCTACAAACTCCAAACAGGATCCACTCTTCCAGCCCCAGAACCAGCCCGCAGCTCTTCATCAGAGGCCATTCTTGACTTAGCTCATCAGCATCTGGGGAAGAGTGAGTGCGTTGCCCTCAAAGGGCAGAGACACCCACTGATAAAAGGGGGAATCTCTTTGGCAGCAGAGCAGCCCTGCATGCATTCTTGGTCTTGACCCCTGCTCCTTGGCTGGCAGAAACTTCCACTGGTCAGGAGGGACCATCAGGCAAGTTGGGATTAGGGAAGCAGACATTGGCAGGGGCTTGCTTTCTGAGGGACATGTGGCTGGATTCCAGCCACAGGTGTGAAAGGGCTGAGGAGTTTTCTTGATTGCAGGCAGTGAGACTGGCTGCCAAAAAACACCAATTGGATCTCCGCTTTCATTAATAGCACCACCACCCACTAGTCTGCTCAGCCAGAAACCTGGGTGTCATCCTAGCCATCCTGGAAATCCCTCCCTCGCCCGTCTCCATCATTCACCAGGTCCTGTCAATCCTATCTCCTAAAGTTCTCCTCTCCACTTGTACAGCCACCAGCCTAAGCCTGGCCTTTTCCTCTTTCCTGGACAACTCCATGGCCTCCTACCTGGTTTCCCTGCAACCACTCTTGCCTCCTTATAATCCAGTATCCATTGTGTGGTCAGAAAGGTCTTTTTTAAAATGTGAACTTGACCATTTGACAGCTCCGTTTAAAACCTTAATGGGCTTCTTATTGCCCTTAGAGTGGAGTCCCCATTCTTATCCTGGTTATGAGCTCGTTTGATCCACCCTCTGCTCCCCAACCCCCACCCCTCTAGGCTCATCACAGGCCACGGGCAGCCTCTCTCACTATATTCCAGCCACAGTGATACCTCAGCTCTTTCCAATGGTCATGCTCTTTCCTTCCTCATGTCCTCAGACAAGCCAATCCCTCCACCTCTAATGCTCCCCACCCTCATGCCCCTCTGTACAAACTAAAAGATCCTTTAGCTTAGAAGAGAAGACTAAGGAGGAAACGAGGGCTGCCTCTGAGCGAGATGTCACAGGAATCGAGAGTCTGGTTCATTATGAGAAAGATTTTTTCAAGCTGCTCGATTCTGGTATTGAATTGCTTGTTGCTGGAGATGTTTGAGCAGAAGCTTGATGGTTCATACTTTCCCAAGGGTTTCCAGCTCTGGTGTTGAGGGCATGCCCCTCAAGCGGGGGAGGGGTGCAGAACTCCTAGCCTCTCTTGTTAGTGCTGGTAGGGAAAATTTGCTGTTCAGAGGACTGTGGCTACAGAAAATTCTGAAAGACAGAAAGGTGCTTTTAAAAACATCATATGCTGCACTGCACTGTCCATCTCCAAATGAATGCTCTGACCCATGAACGTTCTGGACATCTTCTCTTTGCATTGGAATAGTGACAGAATTGTGAGAAAAGGCAGGTAGGAGGTTACAGGTCTCTCTCTGCCTTTGGTGACAGGGACATCCCCAGGTTGTCTACACTCCTCCATAGACAGCTCCTTCATCCTGAACTCAAACTCCTCACCACTCCCAGAGGGCTCAAAAAGGAATGTTTTTGGAGACAAGGTCATCCACATGTGCTGTTTTCCAGTTGATGGCAGTTGGCTCAACACCCCTTCCTGCCAGAGGCCTTCTCCTAACATGCCAGCTGCGTCTGACACCTGGAGGAGCCTGGCCGTCCCTGCTTTGAACTGGAGCCAGCAGGGGAGCTGCTGCCAAAAAGAGTCTGTGCAAATCAACTGGATCATGGACTGATCCTTGCAGGCCAGGCCTCAGGGCTAGAGAGAAGCACTCTGGGGGAGAAGCAAAGGCACTCCA